TCTGCCTCAGTTTCCTCTTTATGAAATGGTTCTTAAGTAAGAGCTACCAAAAAAACAAAACCAAACCCACTGCCATGGAGTCAGATCCAACTCATCCTTGGGTTTCCGAGGCAGCATCACTATGGAAGTAGATTGCCCAGTCTTCCTTCTGAAGAGTGGCTGGTTGGTTTGACTCTCCAGCCTTCTGGTTAGCAGTCAAATGCCTTAGGCACTACACCACCAGAGCTCCTAAGTAAGAACTAGCACATAGAATTGTGAGGACTAAATGTTGCACTGGGTTAGAGGTGCTTAGCACTGTGTTTGCCACATGGTAAACATATGTTATCAATTAGCGTGATTATTAAATCTCCCTTAAGAGTTTTTCTCTGTCCATATCTTTTTATAAAAAAAAAAAAAAAGAGAGAAAGAAAAGAAGACGAAGAAGAAGCAAAATAAGGCAAAGAAAATGTGTAGGCAAATCAAATGCATAAGAGTGTAGGTAAATTAATTGACCTAAGGACCCAGTGTGGCAAGTAGGAGTTACAAATCCCTGTGGTGTTGGTTAGGGGAGGCTTATGGAAGGAGTGTGGAACAGGGTTCTGGAGGACAGCTTGGTGAAGGACATGGAAATAGCTCAGACCTCAGGGAAAGTGAGGGGTGGGTCAAGCTGGGAAGCAAACCAAATGGAATAACCAGGACTGGTAGTTGGCACATAGAGAAACAGCAGAAAGCTAAGCTGGCGACCTCAAGTTATGAGGGAAGTTCCATAAGGAAACTGAATAGAGACACCAGCATTTATTGAATGTCGGCAACAATTTATTTAATCCTCACAACAACCCTGTAGAGTTGTTGACATAAGAGGACACTGAGGCCCAGAGAAGCAAATTAAACTTGCCTGGTAACAGGCAAAGATCGCAGTCCTGGTCTGGCTGACTAAAGCACCCGCAGCACACTGGCTGGGGCACATAAGGCTCCAGCCTCAACTGGCCCTAAACCAAACCAGCCTTGCGGTACGGTCATCCATTGAGTCCACTGCCCTCCCAGACCACTCCTGCAGCTGAGTAGACCCCTCATCTTAAACTGTATTTCATAGACCACCCCTATGAAATGCCAGAATCTCACAGAGCCAGGACCTCAGCACTTCCATCACTAGGTTCAGGAACGGAGATGAAGGCTCTCTGGGCAAGAGGCTCAGTAGGAGCCTTTCCATACCAGAGCCTCCCTTGACTGCAACGCACCATGCCTGCCACAAATCCTGAGCTGAAGGATCCAGTGTTTAGAACACCTGTCTGAGTGATTCCAACTGGGACCTGGAGAACAAACCTGGCAGGGGCTGTCACGTGGCTCTCAAGAGTACCCTTGGACCCTCTCAGATCCCCCATTTGAGCAGTCTGAGCTTCCCACACACATTCTTCCAAGAGTAAAGGGTATCCTTTCTCTGTCCACCCCAAAGCACCCTGAGCTGCACTTCCAACTTCAGAGCCCTGTGGGCCAGCCGGTCTGTAAAGTCTGGGTTGTAAGTTGCCATGATGTTGATTTCCACTGATGGCCAGGGAGGCCATGTGCTCGGAGTAGAACAGCTTCACAGGGTTTTCAAAGCTGTGATGTTTTGGAAGATCGCCTGGTCTTTCTTCCTAGGCACCTCTGAGTGGGTTCAAAGTGCCAACCTTCCACTAGTAGAACCGTTTGCGCCACCAAGGTTTGTGCGGAGGCCCATTTTGTGAGTAGCTGGCCCGACCTAGGGCAGCCGCAGCCCCAGCTTCCCCTGCCTGGGGCCCTACTGAGAGGAAGCCCAGAGGGTCGGCTCTGCAATTCTGCTTGTTCCTTGGCTCCTCTCAGTGGGAGCGAACGCAGCAGCGAGTTTTGCCACACTGCGGTCCCGCACCTGCTGCATTCGCCTGCGAAGCCAAAGCTTAGGCTGGGTAAGAGGGTGATGGTGGTGGTGGAGGCAGAGCTAGAGCTGGGGGCGCGCCGGCGGGAGAGGGCAGCGAGGATTTGCAGAGCCTGTCTGGCAGCCTTGTAATAATAGCAGCACATCTCCCGCGGGGCTGGGTCCCTCCTCGGGCCTGGGATAGCTGCTATCGATTGTTTCCTCCTTGGCTGATTCATTATGTTGGCAGGAGCTTTGGAAGCGCTCAACTTCTGCCCCCTCCATCTCTCCGGACCCCGTCCCCATGCTCGACAGCACCCAACTGAGCTCCTCACGAGGTTCTGGTTAGTAACGGGCTCTGCCAAATAAGGGGGTACTCTCGTTGGGTGGAGGCAGAGACCCGGGGGCCCAACTAGGTGGCCAGCTCGGCGGCGGCGGGCGTTGAGCCTCGCCGGCTCTTGCACCCGCCGGTCCCTTTAATTGGAGTTCGCAGGCGGGCCAGGTGCGGCGCTGCGTGGCGCGGTGCGGCGCGGGGCGGCTGCGGGCGGCGGCCGGGCGCTCTGTACGCGCCGCCCGCGGGACTGCAGAGTCGGCTCCCGGCTGGCCGCCCGCAACCGCGGTTCGGCCGGCGCTTGCCCTAAACCAAGAACATGGAGGCTCCGAGTGCCCATCCGCAAGGGTAAATCGGGGTCGGGCGTTCAGATGAGCATGCTGCCTCTCCCTGTCCGGCTGCAGCACCCGTCGAGAAAGGCTACCGGGCAGCCGGTAGCACAGCCTGCAGGGCGGAAGGCTCAGGTTGAGCCCCGTGCGGGCGAGCCCGTGCCCACCACGGCTGCAGGGCCCGCGGGTCCCAACGCCGGGGCTGGCAATGGGGGCTTGCACTCTGCGGAAGACGAGTGCAGGAAACGAGCTCGGGGACCCTCTGGGGGGTGCGTGGCACCAGGAGGAGGGCGCTTCAAGGAGCTGGCGGGTGATGGGAAGTGCATCTGCCGGCGTAACCATGTCTGGTAAATAGCGCCGGTTGGTAGGACCCGAGTCATTTGGGACGGCCGAGCCATACCCCTCTCCCGCACTAAGTCAAAACAGCTTTGCGGCAGAGACAAGCTTTTCCCCTTCCGGGGGCTGTGGGCTGCTACGGAGCGCCGGTGCTTAGAAGGCGAGGAAGCTGAGATCTGGGGCAGCCGTGCAGGGCAACCCACCCCCCACCCGAGTTCAGGCTCCAGGGTTTCCTGGTGGTGATGGAACCTCGGCAGTTCCTTGCCTTGATCCCTGGGGCAAAAGCACTGGGCTGCGCTGGGGCCCTCCGAGGGAGCCGAGTGTGCAAAAGGGGGTTAAGGGGGCGCTCGCCACCGCGATTACTGAGTGGTAGGTGCAGTCAGGCTGCGCGGAGCCAAGCGGAGAGCGTGCCGGGAGGATCCCGGCCAGAGCTCAGGGAGATTGGGAGAGGGCATAGACCCCTCCCCACCCTGGGGCCGAAGGGATTGGGCTGGCACGGGGCCAGCCCGGAAGCCAGTTTGCTCCAGGCTCTCCTGAATCTGCTGCCAACCCGCCTCACAGGCAGGCTGGCCGAGCGTTTGTTCTGCACTCCCTGCCGCGGAGATGTGAGGGATTTTTCCTTGGGGAGAAATCGGTGGTCGAACGCCTGCCAGGCTCAAATGCCACCCCACTCGGAGGAAGGCCTGCGGCCCAGGAATCCCCAGGGGAGCGTAAGTCCAGAGCCCAGCCAGCCAGCTTCTGTACAGAAGCGACCTTCCTGTGCATGAGGTCTCCCTAGTTGGGCTCTGAAGCGGGGCGGGGGGGTGGAGGAGGCATTACTTCTTCTGCTAGGACCCAGCAGAGGTCAGAGCTTGTAGTGTGGCTGCAGGCAGTCCTCCCTTTGGAATACTCTCTGTCCTGTCGTGCTGCTGCTGCTGGTGGTGGTGGGTGTTCATTGCCCAGAGTCCCTCCCCAAAGCGGCCGAGGGTGAGGGATCTGGCTTAGCCCCAAGAAGACCCCTGGAGAAGAGTGACCTGGACAAGCCTGCAGGCTTTTTCCTTAGGAGAAGTAGCTTCAGTCTGATGGGTAGCCTGCCTTGAGAAGGCTGGGTGGCTGAGGAGTAGCTCTCAGGTGTGGCTCCAGAATGGAAGGTAGGCATAGGAACCTGTCACCTGCAGTGAGAGAAGCTGCCAGAGCCCTCCTAAGTCTTGTCACCAGCAGCTGGAAAACTCTGGTTCCACCTTGCTGCTGTTTTTCCCAGGCAACATCACACCTCCTGAGGACAGCCAGGCGGACTGCAGCCTTTGCTGAGCTCTGCATCTTGCCTCCTTTCTTCCAGACGCTTCAGACCCAAGCTCGGCTGTGGGAGTCCTGCGTGCCCCTGACCAGGCACCCTGCTGCTCCTCCAGCCCAGCCCAGCCCAGCCAGGCCCTGGAGCTCACCTCCAGGACCTGGAGCCTGCCCTCCTGCCCAGAATGACTCACCGTTATTTCTAGCCCTGGTGAAACGACGTGATGAGGAGTTGAGCTGCCAGCATGTATATCTAGGATCCCCACAGCATCTCCTCTGCTCTACAAGAAAGAGAGCTTCAGAGTCCTGCCTCGCCAGGTAAATCAATCTGCTGTTTAATACCAACCATGTGTAGTCATTGGGGTGGAGGCAATGAGAGACCCAGGCCTGAGATTCCCACTATGAATACTTCCCAGGGTATAGTTATTCTCAAGACATTAGTTGAGTTCCTCCAAGAGGGCATCCTTCCAGCCTTCTAGTGTGGAGTTATGCTGAAAGCTATGGTGAGAGGGGGCCTGGACCAGCCACCTTCCCCCAGTGCAGGGCATTCCAGAGCTTGCTTGAGAGATCACCACCTGTCCCCCTGGATCTCCAGCCAACTTAAATAAGGTGAAAGTGAAATGTTTGTGGTGATGGTGGTGGTAATGGTAGACACAAATCAGCAATACAGGTCAAGCTGCCAGTGCTCAATGATCTCACACCCTTCACTGCCTCTGTCTTTCAGCCCAGCGAGGCTGTCTGTCCAGCTTTCAGGGAGCCCTCAGGGCTCTCCATCAGGAGCTCAGGCCAATGCTACTGTGTTTCCTGGTGCCAATAGCAGCACCCTGAGTTCCCTGCTACCAGGCAGCTGAAGGCGTAGCGTGAGGCGATTTTCTCAGTCCCAATTATGACAGTGGCCACTGGAGACCCGGCGGACGAGGCTGCTGCCCTCCCTGGGCACCCACAGGATACCTATGACCCAGAGGCAGACCATGAGTGCTGTGAGAGAGTGGTGATTAACATCTCAGGGCTGCGGTTTGAGACACAGCTCAAGACTTTAGCCCAGTTTCCAGAGACCCTCTTAGGGGACCCAAAGAAGCGGATGAGGTACTTTGATCCCCTTCGAAATGAGTACTTTTTTGATCGGAACCGCCCCAGCTTTGATGCCATCTTATACTACTACCAGTCTGGGGGCCGGCTGAGGCGACCTGTGAATGTGCCCTTGGACATATTTTCTGAAGAAATTCGGTTTTATGAGTTAGGAGAAGAAGCAATGGAGATGTTTCGGGAAGATGAAGGCTACATCAAGGAGGAAGAGCGTCCTCTGCCTGAAAATGAGTTTCAGAGACAGGTGTGGCTTCTCTTTGAGTATCCAGAGAGCTCAGGGCCTGCCCGGATTATAGCTATTGTGTCTGTCATGGTGATCTTGATTTCCATCGTCAGTTTTTGTCTTGAAACGTTGCCCATATTCCGGGACGAAAACGAAGATATGCATGGTGGTGGCATGACCTTCCACACCTATTCCAACAGCACCGTTGGGTACCAGCAGTCCACTTCCTTCACTGACCCTTTCTTCATTGTAGAGACCCTCTGTATCATCTGGTTCTCCTTTGAGTTCTTGGTAAGGTTCTTTGCCTGTCCCAGTAAAGCAGGCTTCTTCACCAACATTATGAACATCATTGACATTGTGGCCATCATCCCCTACTTCATCACCCTGGGGACGGAACTGGCTGAGAAGCCAGAGGACGCCCAGCAAGGCCAACAGGCCATGTCACTGGCCATCCTCCGTGTCATCCGCTTGGTAAGAGTCTTTAGGATTTTCAAGTTGTCCAGACACTCCAAAGGTCTCCAGATTCTAGGTCAGACCCTCAAAGCCAGCATGAGAGAGCTGGGCCTCCTGATATTCTTCCTCTTCATCGGGGTCATCCTTTTCTCTAGTGCTGTCTATTTCGCAGAGGCCGATGAGCGTGAGTCCCAGTTCCCCAGCATCCCGGATGCCTTCTGGTGGGCAGTCGTCTCCATGACAACTGTAGGCTATGGAGACATGGTTCCGACTACCATTGGAGGAAAGATTGTGGGTTCCCTATGTGCAATTGCAGGTGTGTTAACCATTGCCTTACCGGTCCCTGTCATAGTGTCCAATTTCAACTACTTCTATCACCGGGAGACAGAGGGAGAGGAACAGGCCCAGTACTTGCAAGTGACAAGCTGTCCAAAGATCCCATCCTCCCCTGACCTAAAGAAAAGTAGAAGTGCCTCTACCATTAGTAAGTCTGATTACATGGAGATTCAAGAGGGGGTAAACAACAGTAATGAGGACTTTCGAGAGGAAAACTTGAAAACAGCCAACTGCACCTTGGCTAACACAAACTATGTGAATATTACCAAAATGTTAACTGATGTTTGATTGAAACCTATTAACATACTCACAGCTCAATGGAACTAATGCAGATATTGCATAATAGCCTGCATTGTAGTCAGTGTGCTCTACAGTGTGTATCTGGTTCTGCATGGAAAGCAATAGTCATGCAACTGACTTTTGATCTTTTGATTTTGATTTAGAACACAGAATATCTATCCTTGGCTTTCATGCAAATCTTCATCACCGGCTAATGGGTCTCTAAAGATCAGAGTCACCTATGGAGTTAGCATTCAGAAAAGCACATTCAGGCCACCTCATGTCTAAGACACAGCCCACTGCAGCAGTGCCACCTTTCCTTCCTAATTAACTGCACACAGCACTCAAGAGATGTACCCTCTTCACCACACCCCCCACACACACACACACTGGTTTTGAGCCTAGCCCATCTTTACAGAGAAAAGCTATTATGGTTTTTCTTTAGAACTGTGATAATTATTCAAAGGTCATTCCCTTTTTTTTTTACATTGAAAAGAACACACAGTCCTGTCTATTGGAATTACTTTCTGTGTCACAGGCTGGGGTTTTGAATTGCAGTTGCCAAGTAGATGCTCCAGAGGCTTGTGTTTTATAATGGGAAGTGCTGCATTCGGCTTTTTCTCTGCAGTGTCAATATGAGGGAAGCCCAGGGGAGGGACAGTTCATATGACCAAATATGAGTTGTGAAGTTTCACCTTTTCTCCTGTAGGCTGACGGGGAGAAGCTAACAAATCAAGGGACTTCCTAGCTTCAGATTTCACCACTTTGCAGTCTTCAGGGTCACAAAAACATGTCTGATTTCTTCATTACACTAGTTTGCAGGCATCTGCTTTTCTAGTGCTGTGGCCTCAGCTACACTGACACTGCAGTGGAATTTACCAGTGATGCAATAAAGCTGCATGGGTGTTTGTTGCATGAATCTCAATATTTAAAACACAGGAGATAACCTATCTTCTTAGTAGCCTACACAGTATTTATATTTAGAGTATTAGTAGCCTTAGAATGGCATTGAAGTAGGGCATTTTTTTTTTTCCTGTTGAAGGACAAAAGCTGTCAATCGGAAAAAATACAGACTATTTGGGATGGGGAGCCAAAACATCTGGCCCTCCAGCCTACCCCATCCCTGTTTCTCTGGATGGGAACATAGACCTCTGCAAAGCCGAGAGAGAGAGAGCAGGAAAAGTGGCATCTAAACACCTCACATGACTGCACCTTAGGAATTAACCTAGTCATGAGCATGACTGTACAGTTCCCCAGGGCATTGGGTCCTGGCAACAGATGGATCTGTGGATCCAGTGTATATAAATATATATGAATATCTCTTTCACATGGTCCTCTACCTAGCTAGCTGTAGAAATAATTACATTTGAACATTGTATAAGCTTATGCAATATTTTTGACACAGGGCAATTTATGCATGTGTTTGACTATGTGCACTAGAGTGTGTTTGTGTGTGTGTGTATACACACACATATATACATACATATGTGTCACTAGAGTGTGTTTGTGTGTGTGTGTATACACACACATATATACATACATACATATGTGTATGTATATATTTGTACATATGTATACACACACATCATATATATATATATTTTTTTTTTTTTTTTTTTTTCATTCTCTGGAGTTCAGGTTCAGGAGCAAATCCACTGCTTGGTGGTTGGTTGTCTAAGAGGCCTAATGGGTTATTTTGTCTTAGTGGTCACCCCACTGGGCCCGGGTTTGCTGCCATTGCCTCAGAGACTCTGGTCTTCCTGGATTCTTAGATGTTAGAATTGTCTTTCTGCCCTCCATGTGCTGCAGCTTCAGTTCCCATGGCTGAAGCTTGTCTTACTGAGTGCACAAGGGCCCTCTGGCCCTCACAGCTCCAACTGTCCTGGGCCGGACCCACTCTGGGCCTCCTGTCTCCACCGTGTTCATCATCTTCATTCTCATCTTTCCCCACCCTTTGGTTCTCATTATCATTTAACTCTGAATCAGTCACTTTCATGAACCTTTCCCTAAAGAGCCAGAATGGATCCCTTGCTTTGAAACCAAGGACATCACAAAGAGTAGGACTTTCTGGGATCAGATACCACTGGTCTGGACTTTGTAAGTGGAGCCTCCTCTGTGTGGAGAGATCTAAATTCCAGGACCAAGGAATGGGGTCTCTAGATGAGCCAAAGGGCATCATTTTGTTGCCAGACTCAATCTCTTCCCCCCCAGCCCCCTCTCCCCATTAAACTGGCAACCAGAGCTGCTTCAAAAGAACCAAAGGATAGGTAAAGATCCATTCCCACCCCTGGAATAGGTAGATAGAGAGCCGATGAGCACTGTGCAGTCTAAAAGTAGAGAACAGGTGCGCCCTGGAATGGGTTGAAGTGAGGGAGGCTTTTGCTTCACAGAAGACTGGGCTTCTTTGCCTTTCAACCTAGGTGGCTTAAATTCCCCAACTCAGTGAGATGTGGTGGCCAGGATGTCCAGTGGTGGCTCCAGCCCCAGCTTCACTGTTGGCTATTTAGTGCCTACAGTTGTCTCGGGGGTGGGCATCAGCTCAGGGTGCTTATTAGTTCCTGGTCACCTACATCCCCAGGTGTCTGCAGGGCACCCTGTGCCCAGCACAAAGCCTCTATGCTTCTCTTCCTCTCCTTCATGGGAGGTGGTGCTGAATTCCCAAGACATGGGACAGGAAGGAAACAGACCTTTGGAAAACAGAAGTTAGAGCAACCCATACCTGAGGCCTTGATCAGGGAGTGAATATTTTATCACAGTGTCTTTCACCTGGGACTATATACACATATGTGCATGTACTCCCACTACAAAGCCGATTTATTGTTGCCACATGGACACAAATAGAAAACATGCAACACACATGCAAAATAATATAGAGGGCATGCACAGAAGATGTATGGTAATACTTATTACAAAATATGCAGACATAAAATATGCTTTTTAATACAGAACATAGATAAAAGACTTGCACACTATACAATTGCACAATCTGCAATACATATGCAAAGTACATAAAAACTACATGGGCACAATGCATACAAAATACATAAAGAATACCATTGTTTCTGCATACAAAATACAAACTCAGTGTATGCACATAATGCATTTGCTCATGCTAGGCATACAAAATACAGCACACAAGCCCAAGTACATATATATATATATACACATGATACACAGAAAATGCATACTTGTACTCATAGCCATTGCTTTGTCTCCAGAGCTATAAATTAATAGGCACATATAAAATGGAAGGTGAAATTTAATCACCCTTTTCTAGCATGTCAGTACCCCTCAAAATTCTTTAAGGAGTTTCTTCCTCCAGTTTCTTTTTCCCTTTGCACCCCAAGATTTCAATCCTTAGAAGTAACCTCTGAGGTTTAAAGTAGAAAGATGGGCCACTACATCAAACAGATACCTGATAAGGACAGGGAATCTCACGGAGTTTCTACCTATTCACCTTCCTCCCATTGAAAGCCAGGTACAGGGGGTACAAGGACCCAGAACAGCTGGCAGACCACCTTATGATGCCCTTTTCTTCAAAAAAAGTCTGCATAAACAATCCAGTAGCCCAGCTCCCCTACCCCCAGTACCTGGGGCTCTCCAGATTCGTCCCGTACTCTTAAAGGCAGTGATGGCACAAGAAACTATAGGATCCTAGGTGCAGAACCAGAGTGAAGATGCCCCCAACATTCTCTAGCTCCACAGACCTTATTGCCCCCTCCATCTCCAGCAGCTTTGTTGGGGACCAGGTCAGAAAGCTGAGACAGTATATAGACTCTTGTTGTTGGCTGTTGTCAAGTCAGCCCCTGACTTATGGCAACCCCCTGTGTTACAGAGCAGAAATGCCTTATAGGGTTTTCTTATAAAAGCAGTTCACCAAGCCTGTCTTCTGTGGAGCCACTGGATGGTTTCAAACCATCAACCTTTGGGTTTGCACCCAAGCACAAACTACTTTCACTACCCAGGATCCCATTGTATACAGACAAGTCTGTTACAATGTACCACCTTGACTTGCTTAGGGCAGTACACTTGATCTTGGGCATAAGCCCAGTAGGTTTAACCCTTGAGTCCCCTCTATGGATGTCAGTTCCAGGCATAGTCCCTCCCCCCACCCCCAGGGGGCTCCTCTTGGATGCCCTGCCTCCCATCCAGTTGCTGTGCCTTGAGGAAATGCAAACTGTTCCGTTTAATTGAAACATGCTTAAGAACATAATGCTAAACAAGGAAACAACAGTTTTTAAAGGGCATGATTTTTATTATATATTCTAAGACCAGGTTTAAATACTTCATAAGATTATCCTCCATTTGGGATTACCCCTAAAACTGGTTCTTCCCACTAGCAGGACTCGCTGAGAGTGAGTACACTGGGCAAAGGTGTCACTTCTGATGGAAGTTAGGAGGTTAATACAGGTCTGGGTGGGACAGCTCTGGACTCAGGGCTCATGAGCTCTACTCATACAGTCGTCCCAAGTATGTCTCTCCCTTTCCTCCTAATGATGGTCACATCTCCCGATCTCCACAGAAGAAACAATGATAACAGGGGAAGGACATGTGGGTTCAAATCTTGACTATTTGGTGCAATATGCTGGGACTTTTAGGTGTTTCCAAGTCAAGATACCAATTTTCCCTTTAGCTTCAGGTGCATCTCTAGGGTCAAGGTTTTAAGAACATTGCCATTTTCAGGAGGCTGAAGAGAAAGAGACCCAAGAAAGGTGGGGTGGGTTGTCAAGAAGAGAGAGAAACTGAGCTGGTCAAGTTTCAGACTAAACTTCTTAGGACTTTTTAAGGACTAGTTAAGGACATTCTGAATCTGGGCTTCCTGGAGCTTCCACAATTTTGACACACTCTTTTTTCCTCTTTGCCCCTTCCAGCTGGGCCTCTGTAGATGGTGTAGGTATGTTGTTGTTGTTGTTAGGTACTGTCGAGTCTGCCCCAACTCATAGCGACCCCTCCTTGGGTTTCCGAGGCGGTATCACTACGGAAGTAGATTGCTGGTGGATTTGAACCAT